GAGTGAGATGCTGGATCACCTGAGGCATTCCAGACCTTCCCTGGAAAGAACGTGTTCTCTCCTAAGACCATTGCCATTGGTAGATAGTCTGGCTTGAGTTCTCTAGCTCTGGCCTAGTTATTCTTAATAATTATAATGATGTGACTTATAGTCATCATTTATTTATACTACCTAAATAATTTTGATGTGTGACAAATACAGATACTTGAGCATCTGATGGAATCACCATTAAAACCTGTTTGGAGTTGGAATTGGACAACATCTTAAAATAGATTTATAACTTTATGTTTTCTGTAACTTTTTTTATATCTTAAAATTTGGGGGGGAAAGAGAGAGATGGCCATTATCCCCCCCCCCCAATTAATAAAATCAATGGGCTGGAAGAGATCTAAAAATATATTCTGGCCCGGTTTCTTTCTTTGATTTCTCCATCCAGTTTGCAACTTTTAAAAATCCATTTCTTTTCTGAGTTTTCTGATATTTATTTACATAATAGTCCTAAGGTTATTTCTTACAAAAAAGGAAATCTCTCACCTTTTCAATGAAGTTGATGTCCACTTCATTCATCTTCCATGGACCTAAAGAAGAGGTAGTCGAAAACTCTCCCAAATAAATATGCGACATCCTTGAACTTGGTAAGAGCAAATGAAGATCACTCATCTGTACCCTCTAATTTTAGTCATCCCAATTCCTTTAGCCTTTCCTCTTCGGGTCCACATTTTAACCCTGTATCTTAGTCCCTGTATTTTAACCCTGTATCTTAGTCTCTCTCGCCTAATCTCCCCATTTCACCACCAATATCTCATTGTATTTACTTAGGAAAAAATTATTTTAAAATGTTTTAAAAACATTAAAAAAAGCACAGGAGGATTGATTATGGTTGTTAAACATTATACATTTTAGTTTCCTACTTTTTTTTCTCTGTTCAACCATCATCTAATGTTAACTGACACTACAGTTTTTTAGTTTGGGATAAGTCAGATCTTTAGACGTATTTCTTCCAAACAAGTTTTCAATCATTCTTTCTCTATCTTGATTCTATAAAATGGTGGGGTTTTTTTTTTAAGCTGCACTCATCACTAGTACCGAGTGAATTGTCTCATCTTTACTCATCACTCGTACCTAGTAAATTGTCTCATCTTAGCTCTTCTCTAGAGACAGAAGTAAAGCAAAGAGCAACCCTGTTAGGAGGACAAGCAGCATATTGGTCTTCATTCTCACTAGAGCTCTCTCAGTATAGTTAACAATTTACCAGTCCTCACCTGAACCACTCTGTGGTGCAGACTCCAGACTCTGCAATACACCTTCAGATACACCATGGTTCTACAAATCATTTCCAAGAACCAGTCAAAAGTTAAAGTAAATTCTTGTTCTCCATATCCGTGATGACTCATATTTGTTCTCCTGCTGTGATCATCATTTCCCCATTGGTTTAAAAATTCATTCATCATTGGGCGGCGCCTGTGGCTCAAAGGAGTAAGGCGCTAGCTCCATATGCTGGAGGTGGCGAGTTCAAACCCAGCCCTGGCCAAAAACTGGGAAAAAAAAAATTCGTTTATCATCAACACCACCTGTTCCTTCCTTCCCCAAGGCCAAAAGTTAATCAACATGTGCAAAAAGCAAACTGCCTTCTTTTTTTGGTTGGTTGTTTGGTTTTTGTTTAGCAGGCCCTGGCCACAAACTACATTCTTGATGAAGTTTATCTCGTTTAACATTTTCCTCCTGTTGTGTACTTTACCCCATCCTCCCCTCACAGCAAGTCACAGACCATTATCTCGAACACACAGAAGTACATAAAATGTTTCTATAAATGGAAAAAACAGCTAATTAACTACAATTGGAGGACAGTGACCAAATAAAGCTGTAGTAACCTAGGACTGCAAAACTAAAGTCCATTAGCCAAGAAAATTGTGTCCTAGAAATACATTCCTTGTGATCACAGCAATGAAGGGGAAACATTCACAGGGAGTCACAGGAAGGAGGCATGACACTGGAATCTTAAAGAAAATCAATCTTTATCATTGTCTTTACCTATCTAAATCCTACACAAAGAAGAGTCTCTAGAAAAATCTGATAATATTCACTTTCTAAGAGATTCGTAGAAATCAAATGAAACAACTTTATAAATATCAATTTCCTCTACACACAAATAAACTAGAAAAAAAAGAATAAACTTCAAAATTAATTTTTAAAATATTTTATCATGTGACTTGTATAAATTATAAACTTAACATACTGTGATAAGAACTTTGAAGATACAGGCTTTGTCTAACTTATTGTGTTTTATTTCTTCCAACACAACTTGTACGGTTGCCTACAATTCAGGGAACCTAACGTATATTTGTTGAATTTAACAAAAGAATCTAGTTGTTGAAATAATTCCAGTGCCCTTTATTGTGCCTGTCATTTGGAGGCATTTGAGTTCAAAATATTAGGAAGAAGTAACAGGAGTTGTTTTTTTCTTTTTTTTAACATCAGGTACAGGGGATTGAGGTAATCATAGTTCTCTGTCAATGATGCATTATGAGAATTGTTTTGCAAAGAGATCCTCTCTTATTTTACTTGCTTATTCCTTTTAATTTCCATTCCCCATTCCCAACCACTTTCCCTCAAAGACAGTGGGTCTGGTGTTATTATTATTATTATTTTTGCAGTTTTTTTGGCCAGGGCCGGGTTTGAACCCACCACCCCTGATATATGGAGCCAGCACCTACCCCTTGAGCCACAGGCACTGCCCATCAGTCTGGTATTGTTAAAGTAGGTCCCGCTGTTGTGTATGCAATTGTGAAACATGTATTACTGTTATATGCACATGTCCACGTGAAATAATGTTTGCATCTCATTCTAATTCATTTTTTCCGACTGAGTTCATGTTGTCACATATTTATCTAAATATTGTATCACACATATTTATCTAAATATTATATTGTGTCACATATTTATCTAAATATTGTGAGGGGTATGTACCACTTTCTGCCTGTCTGATTACCCAGATTACCCCAAGTTTTTCAGCGCCACTGCATTAGATTACACAAGCATAGGACCTTGCCTCCACTTCTTCAATCCCCACATCCCAATAATGTTAATATTCCAGAACATAAGAGGTTAATGATACTGGCTGTTAAAATTCTAAAATGCTTGCGTGTTGGTTAAAATATAACCACTGTCCTAAGTCCCTTGAGGTTCCACCCACCACCATTCTTTTCCCAGAATTGACAAATTAGCTACTAAAAGTTAATGCCTCAAACAGCAGGAATCTCCAGGACTCTGCTCTAACTCTATGGCCAGCATCTATTCTTATGAATCAATTCCTATATCTTGTTTCATGCTTTGAATATCATGCCTGCCCTGTACTAAAAGCAACATTGCCATGAACATCCTCCTATATGCCTTCCTGAAGAATACCAATGATAATTATCATACCTTCCAAAGCATTATGCAGTACTGGTCCTTCAAACTAATGATCATTATTTATTAATTACTGTTTCATGGCATAGAAGAATAATACAAATAAAGTAACTGGCTAAGTTAATGAGTAGATTCCACAGCTAGAAGTAATATCAGGGGGAGGGAAGACATTTTTCCTCTCCATTCTCCTAAACCGGAGGCCAAAGGTGTCATTAATTTATGCATGTTGCTATCCTAACCAACACATGTCAAAGATTCATGACAAAATAGTCAAAGGCCCATTCAAATAGAATTAGGCCAGAAGGTCTGGATGAAACATAGGGACATCAGAAACTGGCTAAAGTGATTTCAGTACCAAAGATACTCCAGTGAGAACACCTGGGGAAAACCAAGAGTCAATAGACATAAGTCCAAAATACAAATATCAATTCTAACAGCATAAAACTAGAAAACTTTTTAAGAGAGAGGCCAAGAGTTCTATCTGGACAGAGCCAAAATTAACTGAATCAAAGAAGAAGCAAAAGAAGAGGACCAGGCACAATCATTTACACAACTTACTCTTTACAACCCAACCAAGGTGGGATGGAGTTGAAATAATCTTCTCTTATACCCCAAGCATTATCTCAGCAAAGTACACAGAAATGGTAACAAACCATCATCAAGCTCATAAATAACTTGAGGGGAAGTGATTAACTACTTAACTAGGAAGAAAGAATACAGATGGCATTCTCTAAGTCACTTCTCTTTCACTAAGATAAGGTAACAAATCAACTGGGCAAGTTTAACATCACTGGTGATGTTGTATGAATATTATGTACCCATGATACATGTGATGAGAAGGTCTCTTCATCTCATGGATATTCTTTATGAAAATCCCAAACACAAGTCTAACTGTAAGGAAAAACTTCAGAAAAAGCAAATTGAGGGACATTCTAGTAAACACATGACCAATACTCCTCAAAATGTCACAGCCATGCAAAACAAGAGAAAATGAGAAAATGTCACAAACTAGGGGAGATTAAGAGGACATGATAACTAAATGTAATGTGATGTCCAGATTTGGACTCTTTAAGACTAGAGTTTAGAAATCAACACTGTTGATTTCTCAGTTTTGGAATATGTACTATGGAAATGTAAGATGAAAACAATAGGGT